GAGGATGTTAAAAGAAACTGTAACACATGCAAGCCTAAGATGTCTTCATAGCTCAAATCAATCTACTGTAATGAAAAGCTAAACTACTCAACAGATAATGTTCATCTTCAAGAAGCAGGGCTTCTGAGACTTGAAATCTGCCTCTCCTTCATAGAAAGGACAAAAATATTAATAAGGATCTTAACTTTTAATAATCCCCGAGTAAATACCTTCAGGGACAGCAAAGAAATCACTTCAATTTCAAGACTAACACCCTTTGCTTTGGGTTATTCCTTCAAATAGTACTGAAATAGCATTTACTGGCTATGGGAGTCAGAATACAGGAGACATTTCCCTTCTGAACTGCTTGGTGAAACACCAGAAGCGGCAAGTCATTGAAAACAATGCTCCAAATGAAGAGGAATTCAGAGGACTGAGGTCTGATTAATTTTGCTTAAACAAATATGCAGATAAAAATCAGCTAAGTGCAGATCCATAGCTTCCCTCCCCAGCCCAGGTTAGTCTGTCTTTCCAACGGAGATGTTGAGAGGAACCTGGACACCTCTGTTTAACACCCACCAGATGTCTCGGGAGGCAGCAGCAGCAAATGGGCAATACAGCTTTCTGCAGTACTTGCCTCTAGGTCACTTCCCACCCCCTTAGGATCATGATCCAGACACATGCAGTTCCAGCCTAGATGCTGACAAGAAAGGAGACCAGTCCTTCTCCCCTAAGAAGCCTTAGCCTCTTTACTGTAAGTAACCTCCTGCAGCAGGGCTATGAGAACTCTTGAGCTTACTCAGAATCAAAGAACACAAGAGCTTAGCAACATGTGCTGGTTTTGCTTTTCAATTTGAGCAAAGCGACCCTGTGTTTTTTAGAGTCTGAGGACTCAAGATGATGGAAAAGCTGCTGACACTAAGCTGGAGACCTACACATTTTGATAGGAACAGTGCCAAGCACCTCCCCAGAGCACTGGGCAACCACTGCTTTGAAGCAAGAAATACCCAGTTCCCTCATCATCACAAATCCTGTTTCTCTGTCATACCTAGAGTGGCTCAGACACCGAGTGATATACTAATTCTTGAAACTGCAGAAGATGGCTGGCCAGTCCCTACTCTAGGCATCTGGGGAGAGGAGGGACAGGGAGAACTGAACTGGCTCCAGAACTAGCTCTGGTTACAGAATAGCAATTTAGAGGGTCCAAATCAAACTGTTGGTGATTTGGGGCTTCTGCTGCTTGAACTTTGCCTCTGTACACACTTGAGAAACTGATGTTGCACAGAAAGCAGTTCAGATGATGCTCACACCCACACAGCAATCCCTCTTGCATGACAAGAGAGGCGAGTTGCCAAATCTGAACTATGGGCAGGCTAGTCCCCAAAGAAGCAGGACCCCCAGTCCTTGCTACTGAGAGGACAGTCTCCTGCCATCAGTGTGAGGGGGCTGGAAGGCAGTGTATGGCTCTTCTGGCCAAGTTCAGAGCCTGAATTCTATTTCCCTCTCTACCCTAACCAAATTCTAACAGCACCTTGTTGAACACCCCACTTTTATATGCCCAGTTTTCCATTTTTCCTTGGGAAAGGCCTTGAACACTGATGAGATGCTGGACAAGCAAGCAGTGGGGTGCAGCAATTTAGTCTTTTCAAGGACATGGTACCTTCTTACTTCTCTTGATGCTACATCGCTTCTTCCTCCCAGTCTCCCCTAGCTCCAGCTCCTGGGAGGTAGTCAGGTAAATAACAATCTCACCTCCTGCAGCAGACGGGGCGCTCCTGGCAGCTGCAGGTGCCCATCAGGAAAGCAATTCCATGTGGCTAAGTGATTTTTCTTTAAAAAAAACAGCATTAACTAGGATATTTAGCTTCCCTTTAAAAACAGAGGAAGATGGACTGTTTGCAGAAACAGCAGCCTTTTGAATAAGCTGGAGCCTGAACCCCATGCATGGGTGTGCCTGTTCATGACTGGGGCTCCACACAGCTTGCACAGCTCAGCTGCTCAAAGCAGGACAAGAAAGTACAGGGGGCATCAGGAACCCGCTGGCAGTCAGAGGGTAACAAGGAGGAGAAACAGCAAGTTTATGGACCACAGGAACCAGGCAGCTCATGCTGGTTTTCTACTGATGTATCCCATCAATGCCTCTTTCCTTAACTTTTGTCTACTGGAAGAAATGACGAAGCGAATGGAAGACTTGGAAAACAGGCTAAAATACTGATCAAAACATAAAGTGTATTTATACATACAAACTTGTCAGAGCTATTTTCTTAAACCGGTTCAAAGTAAAATAACAAGTCCTTGTGTCTGAAGTTGAAAAGAATGTTTTGGATCCCTGCATCTATATGCTGTGTTCTGTCTTGCATTGATTGCAGATAAATGTTGAAAATGTTATATATGTAAATGATTTAGTAACTAGCAAAAATTCTAATTAAGCAGAACTAAGCAATGGAAATAAGCTATGCAAAGTAATAAAACGCTGTTATTTTTTGAAGTGAAACCTCCATGTTTTGAAGTACTTTTAAGGCATGAAATTGTTTGGCTTGCTTTTCTGTATTTCCTTCTTCTACGCACTGCTAGTTTCAGGATCCAACCCATGTAGTTCTGTATCTACATATGTATATAAAACCAGAACAAGTGGGACAGCATTCACAGCAATTAGGTTTCACTTAGATTCTTCAAACAACAGTAGAATGAAATCAGTTAGAAGTGAAAATATCAATTTATAAGTTTGCAATGGAACTGCGATCCAAGTAAATGCACAAATTGGGAAGCCTGCTGGATTATCAGGGTATCACAATCCAAAGTTTCAAGTACTTCTGCTCTTACCACATCCAGACTGTGCCATTTCTCCCTGCTGTTCCTTGGTCAGTATTCAGAGATTTTCTGAATTTCCCAAATGAAACTAGTATTTTAATTATGGAGACATTCTTTGGGCAAAACAGGCCGCACACCTGTTCATGAAACACCAAGATACAAACAAAACCAGCAGATTGCTTCCAGCCACTCTGGCCAGCTGAAGTGACTCCGGAGTTCTCCTCCTCCCCCTCGGCAGGAGCAGTACACTTCTGCTAGCTTTACTATCACACTAATGGCAGAATCTAAACTGTCTTGAACTGATCCCAACCTGTGGTTTAGCAAGTGAAGACACTAGCGCTTCCTGCTTTGCTTTGACACACACTGTTTTGCCTCCTTACTGTCTCCAAACAGGAATACACAACTCCATCCATTCTATACCAGAAGCAGCTGCAGCAAAACTAGACTAAGTGATCTGAGGTAAGCTATCAGGCGTGTGTGGATGTGTAACAGAAAGCTTTAAAGGTACCCTTTGCCTCACAGCAAACAAAATGGACACTCTGCAAGGACACAGGTACACACGGATTTTCATGAGGCATTTCTGTTCCTGCATGCCAGCGAAGCCCTAGCACCTCAATTACTAGTCACTAGTAATAAGGAACATCCTGCAGCCAATCTTGCACAAGGCAGGCACAGATACCAATGTCCTCAGCAACAGTGACCCAACAACACCAAGTCGTCTGTCTCCAGCATCTTGAAATAATGAAAAAAAGGAACCAATTTAGAACTGGCACTGAAAAGGTAATTGGTATCTTACTGAAAGTCTGTTCTACATCATGTCTAGCAGCTATCCAACTTGCCATTTGATAGGTATCTATTCCCTTGGAAAGAAAAGACAAGGGGGATAATTTGCATTAGTACTCTGTGACTAACTTTGTGAAAACAGTGTGTGATTTTTAGTGTAAGTAAATCCTTTGGGGTCCCCCACCAACATCCCAAATTTGCTACTGTACCTCACATTGTGCCTTAGTTTTGCATTAGCACTCAAAAATCAAAGCTAAGGAAGCCCTAGGCTGCTAGAAATTGGTACATACTTGCCATGACCTTACCTCCACTTACCTCTCAATATCCACAACTTCTAGAGAAAGAACAAGCAAGTTTTGTCCTGTGAAGGTTATTTCTAACAGAACAGGAAACACAGCAGTGGTAATGAATCTTCATTTATATAATTTGTTCCCTAAAACCAGCAAAAGTATAATACAATTTTTTCTTAACACAGATCTGTAACCAGTTTTATTGTAGAAATGACATCTTTACAGCAGTATTTACTTCTCACTGGTTTGTTCTGGCATGCTTCTGATGATGTCAGAGTCACCTGCAAAACAAAATTATAGTTACAAGAGGACCCACAGAACAATCTGTTTTCAGAAATAAGCCAAAAAGTAAAAAAACCCACCTCAATAAATGAAAAAAAAAAAAAAAACCCATACAAAACACTTACACTACAAATAGAGAAAAAGAAGAATACTTAAAAGCAAAACAGTCTGTTTAGAAAAATAAAGCAAGTAATTTCAATAGCTTGATAAAAATGTACTTCTAACTGTATTTTGCTAATCTATACATAATATTTTTATGCACTTGTGACTAGCATTTACAAAACCAGTACTAGAGCATCCATCTAGCCCTGGAGGACACAATGCATAGTTTTACTCTAGCGAATGTCTAGCCTCCCCTGATCACAGGAGTATCAGGACAGCGAGAATATTCGCGTTACACTACACGGTGATAAGATTTACCTGCAGTTCTTTCCCTGCCCAAAATCAAACCCAAACATGACAATGAAAATTGAGTTTATCGACATTATTTGAATATAAAGTTTTCTGAGGAACTGACAAATCTGAAGTTATCACTTGGGGAACATTTTGTGAGAGTTATAGAAATCATTAAATCCACGTGCATGCATTTTGGTCAACGAACAGAACAGAAGACTAATTCTTCTCTTAGTAGATTCTGGAAAGGGACTGTAAGGCACCTAATCTGCAGTCTGTATGAGGAATCTGAGCAGCACTCCAGGACAAAGAAGCTACCGAGCCATAACAATTACATACAGACTCACAGCTTTAAAATAAAATGTTTGATTTTCAACCCCGGATCAGTATCCACCTGCATATAGGTTACTTGGTATGTATCATTCTGGGAAGCAAAATTCACAGTTCTTTGTCTTAGATTAAGACCAGTCAGACAAGGTTGATGCAAACAGCATGTAGCACGAGCTCAAATTCTAGCTGCTGGGCTCAGAAACATGTACCATAGAGTTGCTTCCCAGGCATTGAAACATCCTTACAGACTGACTGAGAAACATCCTTGCAGACCAACAGACAAACAGCAAGGCCACAGGGTTTAGCAGTAAAAGGAGCTGTGTGCAAACATAAGTAGCAGTAATTCCAGGTTCTAAGCACCTTGGACTCACAAAAGGAATAGGATCTTGGTCAAAGTAAATTATGATTAAGAGTTCAACCCAACAGAAGAGGACAGCAAAGCGTGTCATCACCCCTGCACATTACTTGCTGGGTGCTGCTGCTCACAGGTGACCCGAGGAAGCAGTCCCACGCCCCAGAGAGCCCTACCTGGGTCAATGATGGCCAGTGTGCAGACCCTGTAGTACTTCCCGCAGGCCGTGCCCAGCTCGATGTTGTTGCCGCTGTAGTGGTGGACACCGGTCTTGGCCAGCATGGCGTAGTACTCGATCTCCGACTTCCTGCAAGCCAAAGCCTCCCCGTC